GGGGGGGCAGCAGGCCGGGTTCCCAGGGGGGCAGCAGGCTGGGTTCCCGAGGGGGCGGCAGGCTGGGTTCCCGAGGGGGGGCAGCAGGCTGGGTTCCCGGGGCGGGGGGCAGCAGGCTGGGTTCCCGAGGGGGCGGCAGGCTGGGTTCCCGAGGGGGGGGCAGCAGGCTGGTTCCCGGGGGGGGTACTCACCAACACTCTGCCCTCCGCATGCTGCCAGCAGTCTGCGTGCTCGCTGCTTGGCGTCGTCGGGGAAGAGGGGTTCGCTCAGCAGCTCAGGGTACAGGCACAGGGCGCTGACCTGCGGGGCACAAAGCCTCGAGACAGCTCCACACTCCACCCCACAGCCACGCAGCTGCCGCCCGGCTCCCACTCCGGTGTCCCCAGCCCCAGGAGCCCTCCCTGCCTAGCCTGGCTGATAGGGGACTCGGGGACCAGCAGGGTCCCGCCGCTCCGTGTGATGGGGCTGCAGGGAAGAGCCGTCTCAGCGTCTAGCCCGTGCCCGGAGTTACCAAGCTCCTGCAGCAGTGAGTTCCACAGACTCCTGAGCCCTTTCCCCTGCACTGTCTGTGCCCCGTGCCCCCTTGCTCTGGTCTAATGGCCCAGCAAGCCTGGCCAGTGGTTAGAGCCGGAGGGCTGGGGGCCACAACTCCTGGCTTCTATTGCTGGCTCCGCAACTGGCGCGATGAGCAAGCTCAGACACCTCCCCTCCCTCCCTGCGCCTCACTGTCCCCCGCACAAAGGCAGAGGGCTACTAGCCACACTGGCTGGGTTTTATAGCCCACCCCCGCCCCCCTAGGCACAGCTCTTCCCAGCTCCCTGCCCACCCCGCACCCCCGCAGAGCTGCAGGGGCCCAGCCCAAGGCCTGTCCCCCAGACTCAGATCAGAGGGGGGGCGCCCCCTTCCCCCCCACCACATTTCCCGCTCCCAGTGGTTGGCAGGGCCCTGCTGTACCTGGCGCAGGAAGGTGATGGGGCGCTGGCCCATGGCGTGGGCATCGCCAATGTTGGCTTTAATCACCTCTGTGAAAGGCTTCTTCACACCCTGCAGGAGGAGAGAGGGAGGAGGGAGAACGGAGCCAACCCCGGGAAAGCTGCCGCTGCCAGGGCGCTACCTCCCCCAGCTACGATACCCAGTCTGCATCCAGAGGGGAGAGCGCCCCCCTGCAGATCCCCCCACCCTGCAGCACAGCGCCCCCTAGCGCCACCCTGGGGCCTTGGTGTCCCCAAGTGGGTTGTGGTTGCAGGGGGCGAGCACGTCCCGCTGCTGCCCAGCAACACAGTGGGGGGCTTGGATTGAGGCTCCAGGCCGGCAGATTCCTGCCACACCTGACTTGCCACCCTCGAGATGCCACGCAGCCGGCGCGCCCATCCCACAGAGCCAGGCCGGAGCAGAGCTGCTGGGAGCTGCCCTCCACTTGCTGGGTCCCCTGCCAGCCTGGCTCCTGCCCCCTCCGACAGGCTGCAGTTCCACCCAGCCAGCACTCCTGCCCCCGTGCCCCACCGCGCCCCGGGTGGGCAGGGCTGGGGCGTCCCAGGCCTGGCTGCTTGCCCAGCCTGTAACATTCACGCAGGCAGGGAGGTCAGTGCCCTGAGGATGACGCATCTCGGAAGCGAGAACTCCTGCGTCACCCCCGAGCCCGGGACTCTGCCCTCCGCTCCAGGATCAGCTGGGGATGGTGCACCCACCCCGCCCCCGGGGACTTTGTCCCATGCCACACATCTGCTCTGACCTGTGCGGGTGAACCCACAGTGCCAGGCATTGCACAAGGGATACGCACAGTCAGCCTGGCACGGGAACGTGCCTTCGCCGCCCAGGCTGGCCATCAGGGACCGAGAGCCAGGGCAGCGCCCGGCCCTGGCAGGGCACACGAGCTGCAAGCAGCCGAGTGGCTCTGGGCTTGGCCCGCCTGTCCCAAGCCCATACCCCACGCCCCAAGGATTCTTGCCCATTCCCATGATCCCAAGCAGGGCAGACCTTTCTCAGCCCCGTCCATGCCACCCTCTGCCCTGTGCTGCCCCTCCCAGGGCCCAGGAGTTCCCAGGATCAGGGCGAGAGGGAGAGCGGGCCCCACCATGTCCCAGGTGCTGGGATGGGACAGGCTGTCCTCCCCCAGGGGGCTGAGCCCAGAGCCCGGGCAGGGACAAGGGCCCCCGCTTGTGTGTGCAGAGCAATGGCATGGACCTGGGGACGTGGGCTACGTGGTGGGAACGTGACACGTGCCGAGCCAGCTGGACGCTGTCCAGGGCAGGCATGGGGGCCGTGCATGGGACCAGGCCATCCCTTGTGGTGGTTGGTCGGAGGCTGGCAGCGAGACAGGCTCCTTTGGGCCAAAGCAGCCGGCAAGGTGGCACCATGCCATGCAGCACAGGCCACAGGCCTGGGAAAGCAGAACCTGCTGGTGCCGGAGGAACCCTCCCAGCCAGCGGCATACCCAGCCTGCTGGCACTGCTAACATGGAGGGCACAACCTCTGACCCTGGGCACTTCACAGCATGTAGCAGTCACTGGGCAGGGGAGAGCCACAGCCTGTTGGGAGGGGAGGGGAGAGGAGGCCTGGCTGGTGAGCCCACACACACACCCCACTGCCCTCTCCTGCATGGACTCAGCACTGCCCAGCTCTGTGTCATAGGCCCCGTACTGCTCACAGTTCAAGGAGATTCTCCTCTAGCTCAAGGGGCAGGGCCTGGGTTTTTGGAGCAGGGAATTCAAATCCCAACCTGGCTGTTGACACGTTATTGCAGGTGCCCATGCATGCAGCCCCGGGGTTTCCTGGTGCCCACAGATTGACTCTGTGTGTAGGTTGGTTTGTCTGCAGCTACAGGTCTCAGCGCCCAGTGCCCCTGCACCCCCTATGCCTGCCTGGGCTGTCGGCCACTCCCGGCCCTGGACAGCGGCTTGTGTTAGGCCAGGCCAGCGGGACAGTCGCTGCTCCAGGGTGCAGGCTGTCCTGTGCCAGGGTGAACGAGGCTGTCAAAGCCCCGGCCCTGGAGCCTCCTGCGCACCTGCCCGCACCTGCCAAACCGGACAGCGCCAGGATCAGGCAGGAAGGGCCCAGAGCTTGCTGCTGTCAGTAGCTGACACGCTGGCAGGGCAGGAGAGACGTCCCCAGCTGCCCTTCACTGTGAGTGAGCGGCCATTGCTGGCGAGGGGGCATGGAGCCTGCCTGGGCTGTGACTCGCCCGCGCATTAACCCCACATCGCCACCACTAGCACGTGCACCAGGACAGTGAGACGCAGCCCAGCCCTAGCGGGCATGGACGGCACCTCGCTGAGCCCCCTGCCTGCACAGAGCTACCCCCGGAGCGGCAGCCCTGGATCACCTCCCTCTGGGAGCCTCCTGCCTCCCCCTGGGGCCTGGCGTGGGGACAGAGGAAGGAGAGGGGAAGAGCGAGATGGGGATCGGAGCCAGGTTATGTCAGGACAGGGAGACACTGTGCCCAGGTGCGCAGAGTACACGCCCAGGTGCAAGCGTAACCCTGGTGACTGGCCCCGCCCCTGCCTCACCTTCCAGCTGGTGGGGTGGCCTGACCAGGCAGAAACAGACACGGCGCCGGATGAGGCCCCGGCCAGCATGGCAAGCCCTGGGGTCCAGCGGGATCTGTCAGTGTGGCAGGCAATGGGGTCCTGCTCCATCCCCTCAGAAGAGGAGGCCCCAGCCCCAGAGCTGTGTGGCCAGTGTCTCCCCTGCCCATCAGCTCCCCGGTGCCTGGATGATCACCCGGCCACAGAAATGGCAGGGGGCGAGCCCCCGGGCAGGAGGGGGAATTCCTCCTTCCCCTGCGGAGCTTGGTAGCCCGCTGCCATGGCCCGTTAGCAGCCTCACTCAGCGAGCCAGTGAGACCCCCCGTGTCCCAGTGCGGTGCCAGGGGACGCTGTGCTGTGGGGAACCAGACTCAGGGCTTAGTAAGGGCTGAGGCGCTCTCCCCTGAGCCTATACAGACTCTAATGCCCCACTGCAGGGCTAGGGGCCCTGTGCCACCGGAGGTGCCACCTTTGAACCCTGTGCTCCTTCCCGGTCCCATTGCACCTTTCCTAAGAGCTGGGCTAGCAAAACTGACCCCAGGGAGTCACAGGCCACTCCTGTGGAGTTTGTCTTCCCTTCCTGGCCGGGGCTGCCCGGCCTCACTGTGCGCTGCCCCTTTCCACCCCAGAAGTGGCTGCATTTCAGGAGTGCTGGCGGGATCCTGGGAAATCCACTCCAGAGTCTGCACAGGGCTCTAAGTGCAGTTCCACACACCCCCACCGCCGGGCTGGTCCCAGGCAACTTCCAGGTGTTTGCTCAAGACTTTGTGCTCCCAGTGCACAGTGAAGAAATCGGCAGCCGGGCGCCCTCCTGCCCTCAGCCTGTTTCACACGGTGCCAGGGACGCGGGGACTGGCAGCTGTCAGAGGAGCCGGGCGCTGTGCTCGCACAGGAACGCAAGGCCCATGCCCAAGAGACGCTTCCCATGGGCTTCCAGAGGAGCTGGGGGGGCTCACTCAGGATCAGACCCAGGGAGGGGGCGCAGGGGGCAGGGCAATCGTATACTGGGGGGGCAGGGTGCCCAGGCACTGGGGGCACAGGGGACAGGGTGCCCAGGCACTGGGGGCACCGGGAGGCCAGTGGGCACTGCTGAGAGAACCTGCCCATGCTGGGGGGGGGGAGTGTCTAACTCTTATTAACGAGACTGTGTTTATTCCGGCAGCGCCCCAGGGCCCCCGAGAGCGGGCGGCCGCGCGGTGCCAGGCGCTGTACAAACAGCACCGCGGTCGAGGGACTGGCGATCCAACCCGCCGGGACAGCCGGGGCGCGGAGGGGGTGAGGGCCCAGCAGAGCGATCCGGGGGGCGGCTCTGCCCCTTACCTGCCGCAGCTCCTCCTCCAGCTCCACCGCGCGGGTCAGGATGGGGCCCCGCACCGCGTACTCCACCCGCTTCACCCAGGGGTTCATGGAGTCCAGGTTCAGCACCTTGTCCCGCAGCCCGTTCTCCGCCATCCTGGCCAGACCCGCCCGGGCTCTGCAAGGCGAGACGGGGCGGCAGCTGAGAGCCGGGGGCGGCCGCGGGGCGCCGGGGCGCACGGGGCGCGGGGCGCCGGGGGGTGCCCGGCTGAGCGCAGCCTGCAGCGCCTTCATGCCGCGGGAGCAGCCCGGGAGGAGCGGGGGGCTGGCGGGGGATCGGCCCCGGAGCTGGGGCGCGGGGGGGGAGCCGCGGACCCGGGCTGGGGGCGGCGGGTGCCCAGGCAGAGAGGGGAGGAAACTGCCCAGGGGAGGGGTCTGGGCTCCGGCTCTTCCCTCCCCCCGCAGCCTCCAGGGACTTGGTCCTGGTCTTGCTCCCTCCGTCCCTCCCCGCACGCCACCCCCGGAGCCGGGCGCGACCCCCCGCGGGAGGCGAGCACCTACCCCGCGGCTAGAGACGGCGCGCCGGGGTCCCAGGCGCAGAGAGCAGCGAACCGCTCCGCAGCTCTTTAATAGGGGGCAGAAGGGGCAGAAAGGCGGGCGGGGGGAGGAGACAGAGACACGGGCCTGGGAGGGAGAAGAAGAGAGTGAAAGGGACGCGGGAGGCCCTGGGAGCCTGCCAGGGCTGGAGCCGGTTGGCACAATGGCAGAAAGCGCCCCCCCCCTCCGCCCCCCGCAGTGTTTTTCACCAGGCTCCGGGAGGGAAATTGGACTGTTTGTCTCCCCCCTCCCCCCGCTCCTGCGCGCCTGGGCCGGGGGGTGCGGGGGCTCGGCAGGGCTAGGCTGGGTGGCTGATGATGGGCGCTGGACAGCGCAGTGCCCTGGGCCGGGGCGTCCCCAACAGAGCCAGAGGCCCCTGTATCTTGCCGGTGGCTGTCGTAGTGGTCACGGTGCCGCCACTCAGAACGGGGACCAGGCTCCCCGCCACCAGGCTCCTGCAACTGGAGCTAAAGGAGACTCGCCACTAGCCGCAGGTGGTACAGGGCCTAGGACACACAGTCGAGCAGTTCTGATTCCACCCAGTAGGGGGCAGTGAAGCACACTGTAGACGCATACACGCCAGAGGCCTTTCTCTAGGCCTGCGGGCTGTGACGCTGGTATGCGCCCGGTAACAGCTGTGGGGCTGCCCAGAGGGGCCGAGGAAAAGGGCTCCTCTCACCAGAGCCTGTCAGGAGGTATCAGACAGTCAGGGCCCTGCTGGGGGGAGAGCAGGGGCGCTGAGCCATGGTGCTGCCCCACCCACCCGGCAGAGCCCCAGTAATTGTGTCCACCAGGTCAGCACTGAAAGGAGCAAAACGCCCTCTGCACACGAGGCAGCGAAACCGGGGAACAGGTCCGCTGGACGCGCCAGCCAACAGAGCGCCCTTGGGCCACTCACTGCAGGGAGTCGGGGGCGCTCTCCCCTCCGAGCCAGCGCTGACCCCAGCATGCCCTGCTGCAGGCAGTGGGCTGGGAGGCTCAGTAGGGGGCGCTCTCGTCTCTGAGTCACTGCTGATCGCAGTTCCCTGGTGTGGCAGTAGGGGGGGCTGTGCTGGAGGGGCAGATGTGGCAGTGTGTCACCCCTCTGGGCAGTTCCTGGATGGGTCAACGGCCCCCCCTCCCACCTCCGCTCCCCACGGCCGGGGCTGGGAAGAGGGTGAGGCCAGGTTCCCTGTTCTCCTCACCCCCTTTCAACGCCAAGAACCTTGGGGCAAAGTGACCCCCAAATGGGACCTGCCTCCTTGGCCAACCCAGGCTTAATGCCCAGCAGTGGGGAGAGAAAGCCAGGACCCTTCTGACGCTAGGCCTGGATCACTTGATGTAAAGGAGACTCTCCCTTAGCTGCAGCAGTATAGAGCTTATGAGACACAAGCTGATCTGCCGAGGTTCTTATGTGGGCCGCCTCACTGCAGCCAGGAGCAGGGGTGACACATACCCACGACCCAGCCTCTGGGAACCACCTGCGAAGGGTGGATGGTTCATGGCCCCACCCTGCCCCCAAACCATGGAGAGGGGAAGGGACTCGCCCACGGTCACACAGTGAGTCAGTGGCCTAGCTGGGAACAGAAGCCAGCATGTTCTGCTGCCCTAACGACACCGCCCCACAGCCACCTACAGCAGGCCTGCACAACACGCGGCCCGCGGGCCGCATGCAGCCCGCGTGGGCCCACTGTACGGCCCGCGGGCAAGCGGTGGGGGGCGGTTTCCGGGTTCACCCCCTGCCCGGGGGGCCTGACCTCACAGCCCCGCGCGCCGCACTCTGCCCTGACAGTCAGAAGCGCAGCTGCCGGGTTCGCCCCCTGCCGGGGCAAGGGGGCCCGACCTCCCCCACCCCTGGGCAGGGGGCGAACCCGGCAGCCGCGCTTCTGACTGTCAGGGCGGTCGCGTCTCCCGCTCCTCCTGCCTGGCGTCCAGCACTTCCGGGGCTGCTGAGGCGGGAAGCGCTGGGCACGAGGCAGAGCCGGTAAGTCCGAGCGACGGGGGAGGCACCCGGCCTGGGCTCGAGCCGCAGCTCATGGGGGCTGGGGTCAGGAGGATGTCCAGCTCAGAGGGGCTGGGCTCGGAGCTGGGGGTCAGGGCTGCTGGGGGATGGGGTCGGGGGTGCTTAGCTCAGAGGGGCTGGGCTTGGAGCTAGGGGTCAGGGCTGCTGGGGGATGGGGTCGGGGGTGCTTAGCTCAGAGGGGCTGGGCTTGGAGC